GCCTCCATGCTCATTGTCGTTGGAGGAGGAAGCTGGGCTTCTCTGCTTAGACTGCTGCCACTAGGATAAGAGAATAAGATGGATATATGTGCGTGTGTGTGTGTGTGTGTGTGTGTGTGTGTGTGTGTGTGTGTGTGTGTGTGTGTGTGTGTGTGTGTGTGTGTGTGTACATATGTATATGTACATATATGTAGTAATGTGAAAAAATGCTTTAAACAAAGAATGCTTTCAGAAATATGAACGCTTGTTTATTTGCCCCAAATGTAGCCAAGCCAAAGTCATTAAGAATTATCTTAAGTGTAAAGAAGAACAAGAAGTACTGGAAGTAATGGCATGGTCCCCACAGAGCCCTGATCTCAACGTCATCGAGTGTGTCTGGGATTATATGAAGAGACAGAAGGATGTGAGGAAGCCAACATCCACAGAAGATCTGTGGTCAGTTCTCCAAGATGTTTGGCACAACCTACCAGCCGAGTTTCTTTAAAAACTGTGTGCAAGTGTACCTAGAAGAATTGATGCTGTTATGAAGCCAAAGCGTGGTCATACCAAATATTGATTTGATTTAGATTTCTCTTTTGTTTATTCACTGCATTTTGTTGATTGGTGAAAATAAATGATTAACACTTCCTTTTCTGAAAGCATTTTTTCTCTCATCTCCGTTCTTCCTCCTGATCGCCTCTCAGATCAGCACATTTCTCTTTGACCCACCTGTTTCTTTTGACCCTCACCTGCACTATAATCCAGTGGGGGGTGTCTTAAGTTGTGGAATCTCACATGAAATCACGGCTTTATTCATATCAGCTCCAAACAGCCTCTGAGCCGTCTCACGTGTCGGGTTTCTCTGGGTGGTGTTGTCAGAAGGAAGGCGCCTTGATGAGGATGACACCGGAGCGCCACTGCTACACGAGGATATACCTCACATCTATCACGCCATCTGACAAACGGATCCCGGCTCCTGCCAAGTGTCCCTGCTGAGGGACACCTCCCTGTGGAGCCAGGGAGACTTGGCAGGATTTCGGGTGCCTGAAGTTTGCCTGTCAGGGTGAGATGTTAAGCTGTGTTATTGGAACTCTGATATATATCTGTTTTATGTCTTCATATTCCTCTCAGTCTGTTCAACTGTTTGTTTCCTGTTTTACTTCGATAGTTTTGTCTGGTGTCTTATATTGATTTTGACTTCCTGTCTATCTCC